AGGAGGGGAGGGGGGCGCTCTCTCGATTTTCCAGAGATCCCGCCTAGCCTAGCCCGCCTAGCGCAGCCGAGGACGATAACGCAGTCGACGTTCTCTACTCGGTGTCGCACGCGACGCACGGAGAGGGGATGGGGGGACGTTGTCGTCGTCGTCGTCGTCTTCCAGGAAGTCCCCCTGAGTCCCGTGGAACCACTCGGAGAGGGCGGGGGGGAGGGTCACTCGCGTATTCCCCGCGCTCCGCCGTTCCTCGATACGCCACTGCGGTGTGTAACAACGGCGACGTCGACGTCGACGGCGGCGGCGGCGACGACGGCGAGGAACATGATACGCAGAACCGGGCCGTTCGTATTATGGCAGACGGAGACGGTCCCGGCGCCGAGGGTGGTCGATCGGGCGTCGCGCGGGCACTCGCGGAGGAACTGAGGGAAGCCCGCGATCACGAGAGCGCGACCCGACCCGCGACGCGACGCGACGCGGCACAGCACAGCACGGCACGGCACAGGCGCGCGCGCGGGGGCAGCAGGGGGGAGGAGGAGATGCACGGCTTGTTCTCCTCTCTCGAAGAGTCGCGGACCCGACGACTCCGGCCTCTCACCGTCCCGGTATCCGTGCGAGCACTGCCGCTCCGAGCCGAACTGCTCCGATCCGATCCGAACCGATACCTCCGTCGTCGTCCGCCTGGCTGGCGTTACGTTGACTCGGGCCGTGCGGCGGCGATCTGGCAACAACCTGCACTAATGATGCCGCGCAGCTTTGGCAACTCCGCGCCCCGCCGCGAGCCTCTGGCCGGACGGGAAAAAGCCGCTGGTCTCTCTCTCTCTCTCTCTCCCCCGCTCTCTCTCTTCCCCGTGACACCACGCGCTGCTCGATCTCGCCCCGAACTGAGCCAACCCGAGCCGTGGCTGGTCGCGTCAGCCTGTTGCTCCTTGGCGAGCCACTGGTTCCGAAGTAGGCGTCGGTGGAAGGGAGCGCGACGCGCCGGGCGGCGAGGGCGAGGGGGTGTGTCGCGCCGACGCAGGAGGAAGGGGGGGAGGAGAGGTGAGTACTCCTAGGCGAGTACTCAACGCGCGCATCAACACTATCACGTCGCACCGCCGTGAACAGCTTCCCCTAAGGGCAACCTCGATTAATTTTTCATTAAGGGAGTTACCTGAAGCGACAGATTTCGGAACTTGTTATTTTTCGAAATATTAATTTTCGCCCTAATCTAATCTTCCTTTTTCTTTTTCATATATTGAGCAAACGAAATATTAATGATTCTGGTCGGATGGTGTGCGATTGGTATTCTCTTTCTCTTATAAATCGCTTGTTTTTTCGCCGAGTTTACGCGGAGATCTTTTTATTTTTTATTCTTTAGTCGTATCTCTTTGCACCGTGGATAACCCGGAGTGGGTCGAAACGTTTGTATTTTACATTTCATTATTAAATTGTCCGTGACTATCTTAAAGACTGCGCCCTGTTACCTGCGTACGGCTCGCATTGGCCTTCCCTACCCTCCACTGATTAATAATTCTATCCGTTAATAAAGGAGTACAATTATTAGTTGGTGAATAAAGCCAACGGCATACGGTACTATTTTGCCTACTGGATTACTTACGAGAACCAATCAGGACGCAGCCTTAAGTCTGATCTAAAACTCTGCAGCCTTCTTGGCTCTCGTAAACAATCCAGTAGGGAAAAATAGTATCGCGTGCCGCTGGCTTAACTAATCAACTTTCAACTTTTTGCGAGAGCAGGATTTTTGCATACGTTTCTCTTTCGAATAAATTCAAGAATCGAGCCCCTGGCTCTGATTACATGTATGTTTTTTAACATGTCTGTGATTAGCGCAGACCGATTTTATTAAATGACAGAATTCTAGAAATTTCCGGATATGACCCAAGGAAAAATGAAAAGTCAAGATGACGTCAGTTTGATGTCATATTGACCAAAATATGACACAAATCTGGTCAATATGACATCAAATTGACGTCATTTTGACTTTTCATTTTCCTTGGGGAGATATGTCCAGATTTTTCCAAATGGAATAGAGTTCTTTACTCTTACACCTACAAATATGTACACTAGGGCCGGTATTTATACTTCATCTTCTTCTAATTATGGCGCCCGGCACCTGACAAACGGTAGCCGACACGGCCACGACGAACCAATAGACGTTGTAGAATAGACGATTAATTGGTGATATTATACAATGCAGGGGCCCGACTATCGGGCCTCGGGATGATGCAATCGGATGATACAACTCTGCAGGATCAACAATTTTTCCTCTAGGTTAGAAGACGTGTTGTATACTGTGTTTCGACAAGAAAATAATTTGAAACATATGCTAGTTGGATTAATTTTCCTAACACAGAAGTGGATTATTGATCACGATATCTGCACGTGAAAATGCGATGCGCTAACGATTCAACAACATTGAGATATCCGCGTTAATTTTACTCACGCAAGATTTATACTGTGTAAATTCAAATGAGATTTGAAATTTAAATAAAATTTAAAATTTCGCGACGAAACATATTGCATTCGAAATATCGAAGCATTCAAACCAGTCGTAATAATGTATTATTTAACGTGATTTAGCAAAGTTAGAAAAGTTTCGTCAGATAGTAAAAATCTTCCAGGCATTGAGTTAGCTTGAAAATAAGTCATTTATATATTCTTTTACAAATTCTACGATAAATTGTAAACTATCTATTTGCATCTTTGTTTTCAAGTAGCTACAATCATTGAAAATGAAAAGTAATGGAACGGAATGCGCTGGAATGGACTGAATTCACACCTCGGCAGAAAAGCAGAAAGCAAAACAGCAGACATCCAATCAGAACTGTTGCTGGTAGTCGACAGTTTCTACTTTCTGCCAGCAGAGTGTGCTGTTCGCCGCACCAATGCGAGTTCTGATTGGCTTCTGCTCTTCTGCTTTCCTGCCAAGTGTAAATCCGGCCTTAGGGCCTGCGCACAATAAAATAAATATTAGGAATAGGAAGAAATATTAAATCCATATTGTTTAAATTCATAAATTAGAATATAAATATTTTGGATGATGACTTTATAACAATTCTCATATTTATAATAAACTTATGCATTTGTAATAAATGCACAAGCGACAGAGTGTTTAAATAGTTCTATAAATTTACTGGGAAAACAATTAACTCATTCACAGGATCTTTATGTCTTGTATTTTATTCTTTATCATCAGGTGTTGTAGTTAATCTCTCTTCTAATATGTCATATTTATTCCTATTCCTAATGTTGCCTCTGTTGTGCTTAATTTTTCCGACTTGGCTTTTCTCTCCCTTTCTAATAATCAATATTTCGCGCTCTTTTTCTCGACCATCTGTACAGACACGCGACACCGCATCTACATCTCTGCATACCCATTGATCCAACCGACGAATTCAAAGTGTATATACACGTGTACGGTGTATAGCATAGCACAACAAGATTCAAACCGTCATTCGTAGATCAAATAAGAACGAAGCAGGACGTAGGTCCATCCGTCGACGAAGAAAAGAAGAAATCACGTAAAATGGCCGAGAGGTCGGAATTGTTCAGTAGTAGCGCGAATTGTTCGCTGTTTGAACAGCATCTGGACGGTATCGTAAGTTACGATGATTATAAAAAGCTGAAGGAAGACTGCGAGCACTATCAGCAGGAGTCGCATGTTCTGCGTCGTAAGTTGGAGGCTAACGACGAAATCGAGAGAGAGCTTGAGCGGGCTGACAGTGCTTACGGGATGCAGTTTAAGGAATACAGGTCGATGGTAAACGAGGCTCGCGCCGAAACAGCTCGAAAGTAAGAATCGTGCAATTTCCCCGCAAAAATTAATTGCAAAGTAGATACAAGCGGTTGCTTCTGGAGCTTTTAAACACTTGCAACTTGTCTTAATCATTTGCCGTTTAATTATTATCTAAGAACGATGAGTCTTCCGTATTTTAAAAAGATGAATTTTAAATACTTTACACGTACACTCTTTTGTCTTTATTTTTTCAACTAAGATTTTGTTATGCACAGAGCTTGGTGTCTTGACTTTCGTTTTTCATCAAAGATACAGATACAAGGTAAATCTTCATTCAGTGATAAGATACGGTTACATTTCTTGAATAGATACAAGATGCACTCACAATCAGTGTTTTTCCAGAGAAAGGTACAGTTACAGATAATATTTGTACCTGTATCTATATTTGTATTGGTATCTTTTAAAGAAGATACCAAGCTCTAACTCACTTGCTAGTGTACTGGCAGCCAGAGTTTGGTATACAACTTTTTTTTAAATCAAAGATACAAGATACAAAATACAAGGTTTTAAAAATATACCAAGCTCTAGCTATGCAAGCCTGAGTAATATTTTTATCAAAGGTACAAGATGCAAGGTTTAAAAAAAATATACCAAGCTTTAGTTATGCAAGCCTTAATAATGAAACTACATCTCTTTATGCATCAGGCACGCAAATGAGATACGGGACTTTCAAGACCATGTTGCAGATCTAGAAGCAGTCATAACAAAACAAGAAGATAAGATTAAGAAGTTGCAAGAAGTAGTAAAAAACCAGAAAGACCTTCTAAATAAAGAACAATGTTATGACACCTCGGAAGAAACTTTAGCACCGTATAAAGAGAAAATTATGAGATTATCTACGCTTCTCCAAAATGAGCAAAAAAATGTAGATAATTTGACCGACAAACTTACAAACGTGGAAGAGCTAAATCAGGAGCTTAACCATAAATACAATGTAATACAAGCTACTATTCGTATTTGTTGACTATAACGTAACACTAATTAACGATATTTTAACAGAAAGTACTGGAGGAACTGGAGATAAATGAAAAAGAGTTGGAAGACGCAAGGGTATCGGCTAGAGAATTAGCCCTGAATTTTATGGAGTTGGAATCGAGAGCGACTCCTGCTAGCGATACTTGCAAAGGTAAAGTAATAATTGAAACGCGGCGTTTGCAGTTTATTCACGAAAGTGATTAATGTTTCAGGGAATTCCCTGTTTGCCGAGGTTGAAGACCGTCGGCAAGTATTGCTGGATAAAATGAAAGCACTCACGAGTAAATATAATAATGCAAAGCGGGAGCTGAATACGAAAGTGGCCGAAGTTAAGCTGCTGAGGGCAGAGAAAAGCGCCATGGCCAGGAAATGGGAAATTGATACGGCTGATTCATTGCAAGAGAATGCAGATCTCCTGCATCAATATAAAAGAAGGATCTTCGAGCTTGAGGATAGGTTGAGGATTGAAATAAGCAAGAACATTACCAAGACGGAAGAAATACAGTCTTCAGATGAAAGCTTTAAGTAAGCTAGAGAACATTTCTGTTTAGATGTAGTTAATGTATATTATGTTTGATATATGTTTAAGACGTAAATTTAACTTTCAGTTACGCTCGATCGTTGGTAATCTCGAAGGGAAAGGAAGTTAAGGAGTTGAACGAAAAAATTATAAAGCAAGCTATGCAGATACTAGTGCAAGAGGAAGCGAAGAACGACATCTCGAGACAGCTCCGTTACTGGCGATCTAAAGCAATGTCATTGGAGGCGAGTATCCATCTCCGGAGAAGAAAAGATCATTTAAGAGTGTTTTTGTTGATAGAAGAATCTCTTTGTATCTTTTTCAGGCTCAAATTCTGGCTATAAAAGCGCAGTTGGAAACGGAACAAACAAACGATGGCAACGGAACACTCCTTAAAGCTATTGAGAGTTGCAAAATTTCTGGCAATGTGAATTTCGAAAAGGCCTGTGGTGATTCCGAACTTGCATTCGATAAGCTCACGTCGGGGAATAATACAGGTCAAGGCAACTCAACAGAAACGTCCGAAAAGCCGGCAGTGGACACCACGACTGAGCAGAAAATGCCTAGAAGATTTGTATTCTTTAGTAAGGATACTGAAGACACAGAGAGTAAAGTTTTGAAAAAATCGGCGAAACAACAGGACTATCCCATTGTATCCTATACTAAAGAGCATGGGTCCACGTTTTACGACTCGTGACAATTCAATTTTATATTTCCTTTTTGCTTGACGACATTGTGTATCACGTTAGAGTTTTATTAAATAATGTTTGCATGAAAAAAAAAAATAAAAAATATAACTATCAAGATAAAGGAGAAGAATTAATACGTAGAATACAGGTGCACTTCCGAAAGAATGTAATAAACAAATATACAAATTGCTTTTTAACTTTCTCAAAATTGTGCTTTTGCTACTTTACCTTTTTCCTGGTTAAAATTGAAATATTTTCAGATTCAAACTGCATTTACTTTTTTATCTTGGAGCTATAATGTACATACGATATTTTGTTCTTTTATATTTAAACCACTTTACAAATGTCCGCCAATCGCGCTTCCTTTCGCCAGGGGACGCGCCTGTCGACGTTACAAGTTACAAGTTCGGTCTACACGTCTAGAAAATTAGTACACGATGGCGCACGTAAATTTTTCTACCGTATTCAAACAAGGTTTGTTGTTAATTGCGAAAGATTGTTTTTCCATGAATTAAAGCCGATGACAGCGGGAAATTTCAGGACTGCAACAAGATAGCGAAACCGCGTAACGGCGTTTTAATCGACGTCGCGAGTGATGCGATGCCCGAGATCTATTATGTTCGCAGCCTCGGTTAAAATATAATTAAGGTGTTTGCAAAACTGTCAAACGATGGAGTACTCGAAACGAGCCAGGCCCGACGAGGAGCCGAAGACTCTCATGCCGGTTTTAGTAAGAACTGACACGGACGACTGCATACGTATTGACAAAAACGAGGTGAGGAAACATATGGCCTGCAGCTAGAGAAATTCTGCGCGTTTACAATAAATGCGTCTGACGAATCGCGTGTATCTTTTAAAGGCACGTCAAAGATATATCTTTACGACCGATCGTGTTGATTCTGCCAGTTATAATTTTCTCTCTCTTATTTTTTTACACAGTTCAAGATCGGACGTGCTAGGGACAACGATGAGATTATATTGGACATCTGCATATCGCGAAAGCACTGCGTCTTTAGGTGTGAAGACCGTGACGAGTGGACGATTAAGAATGTAAGCACCAACGTGACGTTAGTCAATGGCGTTGCCATCCCTCCGGGCGGAGTACAAAGGGTCAATCCTGGTGATACTGTACAGTTTAGTTTGAACGAAACGTTTAAGTATTTATTTACGTTTGCCGAGCAAGAGCATTGCGCTAAGAGGCCGCGCATAGACGAGAAGATACTCGACAGTGTTCTTGTAAAGCAGAAGACGTTTGCCGAGAGTCAGGAGTGCCAGAGGAAAGAGTTGAAGGATAAGCTCGAGATAAAGCAAAAGGAACACATTGAGTTGAAACACCAGCTCGAAGATCTGCTGACGCAGCAGACCGTGGCTAAAGACGACAAGGAGAACCTGTTGAAGCAAATTACAGCGTTGGAGGATAAAATAAGGGCGTGCAATGCTCAGGAGGGGCATTTGAATAACATGTATTCCGAGTTGTTGCAAAAGTTGGAAAACGAGAGGCTGCAGTTCGAAGTGAGGATAAACGAGGAGAAGCAGAAGTGGCAGGAGGCGTTGAACATGAGTAACCAAGAAAAGGAGACGTTGGAAGTAAAAATGAAGGAGCAAATGGAGAAGTGGAGAGAGGAGCAGCAAGCAGAATGGCGAAGGATGATGGAGAGCAAGGTACAGGAAGAGAAGGATATTCAGGCCCAGCTATTGAATGAGAAGAATATGTTAGAAACGAGATTGAAAGAAACGGAGAAAGCCCTGAAGGAACAGGAAGCGAAAGCGGAAACTTCGCAGGCAGTGCTGTGCGGTATGTTCGATAAATTTTATACAAAAACTGCTTGTTCCTCGCCAATCTATAATACATAGTGTTACGTTTTAATGGTGCATTTTTTTCCAGAACCTTGAAACAATTTTATGCACTGCTAAATAATCTTTTTCAGCAAACACATCAGACGATACTATCGCGAGTACATCGGAGTGTATATTTTTGAACTTGAACGTTGATCAATACGAGGTCCCGGAATATCAGATAATAGATACGATAGATCTGACTGAGATAAGCCAAAATATACTAGAGACCAACATTAAAGAAGACATTTATGGAAAAGTGGGGCACATTATGGACGAACAATTGACGTGTAGCATATGCTCAGAATTATTTGTCAAGGCAACGACACTAAACTGTGCGCACACGTTTTGCCACCACTGCATAGCAATGTGGAATAAGAAACGGAAAGACTGTCCTGTCTGTAGGAAGCCAGTAATATCGAGGATTAGATCCTTAGTTTTAGATAATTTTATTGAGAGTATGATCGAAAATTTGCCCCCCGAACTTAAAAACAGAAGAAAGGAGATTATACAAGAAAGGGAGGGTAAAGGATTCTTTTAATTATACTAATATGCTTCGCGCGTTCATGGCGTTGTCTAATTGGCTGTATATTTAATTCGTCTAATCCGAATGTACTTCAGTTTCAGTACCAGGACCGATGAAACGATATTGAAACGCAAGAAGACGGGTACTGGCGTTTTACTTTTTACGTTAATTATATCTTAAGAATATTTGTTACTGTCTGATTAGTCGATGATTTGTGTCAAGTGTTGGTGAAGTTTAGCTCTCTAAGCGCTCTCGATGTCTCGAAAGTTAAAAACTTATTTTTATAAATAGGTCTTTATGGGCCAATTTCGCGAACGTCGGTTAACTGTTAACCAGAGTTCAGTCGACTCCCTATCTATTTCCATCTTGTTATCTAAAAAAAGTGGAGAATCAACCTTCGGTTAGCAGTTAACCGATGTCTGTGAAAGCGGCCCTAAATCATCCCTTTTCTATTTCGTCATTTTATTAATTTGCATTATATGATAAGTATAAAGTACGCCATTGTATGTGTGATTAATGAAGTATTTTGATAAAACACTTGTACCTATTATTTTATGCTTCTTGTATAGATGAAGCGTGTACAAGAACGTACGTCTTCTATACGTCCCTTTTACCTAACGATAAAGTATTTGAAAGTATTTCAATTTGTTAGAAATCTTATCGAGCTGAAATTCGCTCTAGAATTACATAGTCGCGTGATGTAGACAAAAATCAATAAAAAGCTGCATAATTTGTAGAAAAATCAATTGATATCTGATAAGCGAAAAAAGTGCAACAATGATTCTTCGCGTTAGATTCTAGAAATTGTTTGAATCGGAATTTTAGAATTTTCACAGAAAGTTTCCCCCGCTTTTTGTCTGATTACATTAATTGTTCTTTGACTTTTAAGAAATTAAATCTGCAGTTTGCACAACCCTTTACGGCGTCGAATCGTTGAGGGTAATTCGCAATTTTTCACAATGTCAGTATATTCTGAAACTTATAAAAAAATGTAACGTTCTTTCTGCTTCAATTGCGTCCAGTGCGCTTTGTTTCTCGATCTTTCTCCGCTTTAATTCTTCCCGAAACGTTCATTCATTTCGTACCAAACGCGGAGGTGCAACAAAGTGCAGCTAACGCGCGCAGGTCTGTCGTCAGCTGTTGCGTGCAAGTGCGACCGTGGCCGAGAGACCCCGGCTTGTACACAGCCAGCGACAGTCAAAATGCGAAGTGCGCGTCCTTTTATTACGTACCTCCAAATGTCCAGGTGTATTAGCACGTCCGGCGTGTGTTCGGGTGTCGCTCGAGAAGGTAGATTCATGAGGAAACTAATAAGCGAAGGCCGCAAGTCGAAGAGGTAAGGGCAGCCTGCTCGAGATAAGCGAGAGGGATGCCACGCTCTTTCCTAAGACTTGTGTCTCGAGTACAACCTGTAACGATAGTTTTACTTCGCAGAAAGTGGTACGACGCAGATTTACGCGGTGCGAGCATCAACCCGACCGACGCGTCACCGTCCGCGAGCACGCAGCGCAGAATGATGATGCGAGATAAGCTTTTCATGGAGCACATAACAGACATGATGTCGATGGGGCAAGTGTCTGATATCGTGAAGGGCGACGTAGAGATCACTCACGTGCAAATCACTGCGGATTTCAAACACGTCAATGTGTATTACATACCCAACAACTACGACACCTCCGTCAGCCAAGAGGCGTTGCAGAAGTGCGCCAGGATTATTCGCCACGAGCTGTCGCAGCTACGTGTCATAGGCGTGGTGCCGCCTATCCAGTTCGTTGAAAACAAGCAGTATTCCATGCAGAGGGAAATCGACAGGAGATTGGCGATGATCAATTTCGAGGAGGCCAGCGAGGTTTCGTTGGAACCTGCGCAAGTTGACGCTTCTGGCATGGGCGATGCCGATCAGACTGCGCGCAAAGAATCGACTGCGAATTGCGATTCTGAAGCAGATGACTTTTATACAAAATTGCCGATGAGGCACGATGTGTTAGGACTGGATCATCACAAAATCATGTCCCGGGTAAGCCAGCACGAGCCAGAAATTCATGTGTTCATCGACGAGAGATGAACGAGTTAAATTATACATTTGATTAATTTGTTGCAGATCGTCATTGCGGTATCCAAGTCGAGAAAGGCTGCGCAAAGGCGAATGTCGCGCGATTCGGACACGGTGAATGAATGCAATAACACAGATGAGAGCCCCCGCGACCCGATCTCGAGAGAAGCCGAGTTCCTGACCCGGAAAGAACAACGACAGATCTTCTCAGACTTTCTACTTAAAAGACAAAGGGAAGAACGACGTAGATACAAACAATTGAAGAAACAGGAAGTGGGAAATAATTTTGAAGAAGAAATTGATGACGATTATGAAGATAACGATATAGACGAGGACAGTAATGATGAGTATATAGACGAGTATACAGACGATTTCGAGGACGAGGCGCGAAAATGACTTGAGAATGAACCCGGCTTACGATCAAAACAATTTTTATTCAATATAAATATAATACTAATGCTCGACTTTCTGTACATGTGTGTACAATAAATAATTTATTAGTAATAAATTGTATTGTATACAATATACATAAAATCTTGCTGTGAGATAATACAATAACAATAACAAAAATGCTCATTCTTCGCTAGACACTACTATGGCCTGTGTTAGTAAAGCTAAGACTGTACACAATGTACAAAATTCCGTTGTTTAGTTACACCTCGTATAAGCGCTTGATCCCTTTTGATTCAAGGACCGTCTACATTGGAAGTACGCAGTAAGAAGAAAGTCACAACCTTTTACCTTTCAGTGTAAAAGCTAAGGTACAGGCATCATTTTTCTTAAATATTTGTAGCGCTTGTCAAACTGCGCTCCAATTCGCTGAGTGAGGGTCAGAGTCAAGATCGGAAAAAGAAATTGAAATGATTCATTTCTTTACTCCTACTCTTACTTTTTACATCAAGCCTTACTTCATCTATTGTAGACGATCCTTTACGCGAATTTTTCACGGTACGCTATTGTATAATAGATTTTTTTTTACCCGTGAGCATCTGTAATCAACGATTAAAAACGATATCTTACTTATATGACAAGATCACACTATTTTTCTAACGTTTTCGCGCATTTGCAGTAATACATTGTCATAAATTTCCAAAACTAAAACTGGAATAACGATTTTGTGATATCTTATACATATCTTAATATAAACAGTCAATCAGCACGTGATTAACATCCGTCAGTTTACGCTCCTTTTACGTTATTGCATTTATAAATTACATAAAGCTCACATGTCACATGTATGCTTATACCTTGCACATACATCACCGTGCATCACAATACACGCTATATGTTTTTTTGTACCAGCTGGCAGAACCGGAATGTCCATTTTCACGAGAAAGTATTCCATACGCTAGATTTTACTTAAATCTTTGATTCCGTCGATCCTGATGTGCTCAGGTTTTTCTCCTCCGGCCTTCGTTCCCCGAGCGCATCGTTCGGTAAATTTACATCTATCCCTTGATCGGTTACGGACTTAGTGTAGAGACGTGAATTCGACGATGTCAAGCGAGGTATCGAATCACTTAAGGCGCACGCCTCCAGTACGTATTTGTTGAAGGTTTCGCTTTTGTCCGCGTAAACGTGATGACCAGCTCCAGTAATCACCTGCATAATAATTCATTCTTGTATAGACAGTTGCAAGTCGGTCCGTTTTTACATTGTACTTCGCGACTGAATTATTTTCCCCACCTGAACGTTAACGTACGACGAAGAGCGGTACTGTTTAATCGTTTCACCAGCTGTATTGTCGACCCACGATCTACTGCCGTAAAGTAGCGTTATAGGTATATCATCAGACAGTTTATCCATTCGCTTAACAATTGGATTTTTTGCCCACCCGAAGCCTTGCATCATAGCATGAAACGCGCTCTCGCCTCTGTGTACCGAGTAAATCGTAGAATTATATAACGCGATTAACATGTTTTACTTACACTTGGGTGCTCAGTTTACGACTTACGAGGGTGTCTGCGCGTTGCATTGATGTATATATTGCGAAATTATAGCAGTTTCGTCCTTCAATACGGGGGTGAACTTCTTCACGATGTCAGGCCTCGTCTTCTCAATCAGCCACTGTCCTGCGGATAGATATTTCGCTCAAGAATGTGTAAAGAGAATACAATGAGTATGCATTATCGTGTTGCAATGCATGGCAACACCAACCAAATGGTCCAGCAACTCTAACTGCCCACAGAGGGTTCAAGGGCTGCACTGCGAACGCGATGGCTTTAACCCAGAACGGTATGTGTGCCTTGGCGACAGCGTCGGGCGGCTTCTCGGGGAAGCCCCACGGGTCGGCCAATATGAGGTGTTTCACTCTCTCGGGGTATTGCATGGCGTAGGACGCCGCGAGAAAGCCACCCATCGAGTGACCCAGCAACACGAAATTCTCCAGCTGCATTTCTCTCCTCCACTCCTCCACGGAACTTACCAACTGCTCCTCAGCTTTCTGCGCTTCGTTGCTAAAAACAGGTCTGCTACTCCTGCCAAACCCTGCGAATCGAACAGATCAAGTTCAGCCGTTGCGTTACAGATACGCACAGAAATTACCATCAAATGCACTTAAGTGCTTCGCATCGTGTTGTGAGAAACTGACAGGTTCTTGTATCAAGTGTAATATATTTGTATGTAACTACAAAGTTCAATGATTTGATTAGTCATGCAGCTGAGTCATAAGTATTTGTCAAGTGGCTAATGATAAAATAATGACAAAGGCGGAATGAGCGAAATCGTTAGATTACATCCCGCAATACGCGATTAATGCGCATAAATCGAATACGATTAGCCGCTGGAGGTTAACGTTGAACGTTCGAGATGTTAATTTCTTACCTAACAGGTCGATGGCGTACACCGGTCTCTGGGATGCGAGCATGTCCAAGTTCAAACACCACAGCGCTACCCCAGCACCCAAGCCATGTAGCAAGACAATGGGCACCTTCGGCGATTCCTCGTTCAGCGAGATTGTCCATATCTTGTCCGCCGGGCCCACAACCGGCCCAATGTCGACGTACCATCCGCGATACGCCGTCTTCAAGCCTGCGGGCATTTCGACCGGCGTGTAAATCCTGAGTCAGCTAGGTTTCAAGCGTTTGACATTCATCTTATATTATTTATATCTCGCTTACACGACAGGATCTTCTTCTCCGCAGCGCGCAACATAGTCGAGGACGATCCAGACCAGCTAAACCATCCCCAAATCCAGCTGCTGAAGCGACAAAACTTGGATTACTTCCCTCCCTGGGCATCGGTCCATTTACATAACGGCTGAATCGAGACGAATCGACGATTCGATAGCGATTTTGTGTCAAGTCATGCCTCCGCATCGGGACAGGTGTACAACGCGTCAGTGTATTAATAGCCGTTATATCACGGACCCCTAATTATTGCGCTGCCGTTCGCGCACTCGCCAGTGTGCGCCGCGAGAGGCCGAGGCCCGAGGGACATCGTGGCACCTAACGAAACTAAGCTGAACGAGACTACTTTCAAATCGCGGTCGCTTGAAACTACCCGACACCGTCACCTTCGTGTCCACGCTCCATCGGCCCGTTCTTTCTTCGCGCGACGATTCCGCCGCCGTGCGACTCTCTCTCTCTCTCTCTCTCCGCCAAATGACGTAACGACACAATCGCGGCACGAAATCGCAACGTAATCGTAGGAGGCTGCGACGGAGAGTCCCTCGGTCCGCGCGCGACGCTCGGTCGGCCCTTACCCCGCCTACCTTTTCGCCTGGACGACCTCATGGTCTGCCATGGGTGCGAAGAGACGATGACGACTACGGTGACGACGACGACGGGCTGCTCCCTGCCGCTCTGCCGCCACGACCGGCTGTCGGCCCCCTTTGTTGTCGGCAAATGCGGAAAAACACACGCGTGTGCCGTAATGCGCGCGATACGATTATCTAGCAGAAACGTCCGTGTCTGAATGGACGGCTCGGCCGCGTCGCCGCTCGAGCGAACGCGCGGTTCCCCGACGCGCGACGCAGGGGGAGGGGGGCGACGGCGGCCGCGGAGCGGGGAGGAATCAGCTGATATCGAAACGCGTGCATGCCCGCGCGCGCAAGCCGATTTCTGGAGCGTGTCCGCCCGCGAAGCAACACGCCGTCGCGAGATCTCCTTTATCTCTCTCTCTCTTTCTCTCTCTCATCTCTATCTCTATCTCTATATATCTAGCTATCTCTTAAGATCTTATCGAGGTCGCTCCGCTAGCGATGCTTGCAAGATAGGCCGATCTGATTGTTCTGGCGATGTTTTTTTTGGAGAGACCGAGCGCTTCTTTCAAAGAAGATGATGACACTTTGGGCTGTGGCTTCGAAAACACCGCCGAATGTTCCAGTCACTCCAGTGTATCACTGTATCCTTGTTTAACATTCGATGAGCAACAAGTATAACGACTCGGTTGATGTTTCGAGACGCAGCCTTGGGAGATCTTTTCCCACTAACTCGTTCTTCTTTTTTTTTTGCGACTTTGTTAGCGGGTTTGTAGGAGAATTTGTAGGAACATTTTAAAATAAAAGAACTTAAGGGGACGCTGGAGTGATTCTGCACCTTTTGCACTTAAAACTGTCTGTTTCGTGGAAACATTTGTGTAATATACAAATTAAACGGCTTACGTGTACAGATCGAAAGCGGCTTGCTATTCCGGCTAAATGAAAGAACAATATGGCATCACTGACAATGAAACTAACTTTGTAAGTCAAATAAAAATAACAGTGAGCAAGTACATGTACTATATGTGTGTGTGTGTGTGTGTCGCTCACTATTATTTCTTATTAGACTTACAAACTTAGTTACAGTGATGCCGTATTGTTCTTTCATTTAGCCGGAATAGCAAGCCGCTTTCGATCCGTACACGTAAGTCATTTAATTTGTATATCACACAAGTGTTTCCGCGAGCTGACAGTTTCTAGGTTAGAAAAAGTGCAAAAGTGCAGAATCACTCCAGCATCTTCTGCTTAAAGGTAGTGACCAGTGACAGTCGAAAAGGTAAGCAGCCATTTTGAAACTTGAGCGACTCTGAAAAATCGTAAGTTTTCTCGCGCGTCTTTCTCTAGTAGCACAATAGCAGCATTGACCAAACATTGGTTAAACATTGGCCCGATATTTAGTTGCACTGGGCCAACGTTTAGCCAATGCACTGTGCTACTAGGGTTATCGGTCGGTTTTTGAAATGATGGAAATCATCGAGTTCCGCTAGGAATGTCGAGCGGCGAAAATCGTAAAGGGGAGGGGGGGGGGAGGAATTATTTTTCAGACTCGGGGTTGCATCAGACGATTACATCAACCTTCGCGACTTCCCGGTATAATCGTGCGCCTGCCTTGCATTGACTCAGTGCCTATATCGATTATTTTTAACGACTGTTTGCGCTATTAGAGCTGGCTCGCTTACCCACCCAAAGGCAATTAGCCTGTGGTTTCTACTATTCGGAACCAGTGCCGTTGGAAAAGAAGAAAAAGAAGGAGAAGAAGAACCATCCGATCGTCGAATAATCCCGTAACGTTAGCGACGTGCTAGCGATTCTCCAGCGGATTCCAGGAGAATGTTATGGCAAATTGGCGTCATTTGCGTTCGCATTAAATTCATGTCCCGTCGGCAGAACCTACCGACATAATGTAACAGCAGAAACCGAGTGGAATCTATCATCCGCGACCAGTTAAACGGCATAGCGCGATTCTGCTCGATTTCCGCAAAGTTATCAGTTTGCATTATATCCTAGAAATAAACGGTTTTTTTATGCAACGAATGTCTTGTAAGTTCGTAAGTTGCTTCTTGGCATCGATTACTTTTAAGTGGCCAATTTAGTGGCGTGACTGGCAATCTTATTGTTAGACTCCTAGCATGAGAAATTCGCGAAAGGATTACTTTGCGAATTCCCAAATTATAAAATCACTCCTTTTTCCATTGCCATTTCTGAAAACGTTCTTAGGAGTTTAAAAGAGACTTGCCTTTTTTTATGTCACCAATTCTGAGCGCTTTCTCGAACACAAAGGAAATTCCTTTTATACTCTATAAGAATTCGCGGCGTTATTTGGGGCAGCAAGTGCAAGATCAAACAGTAATCGACGGAAAGGTCAACAGTGGTGTAAAAGAAAGGTATAAAAAGATGAGGTAAATAAAATATGAAATAATGGGAATAAAATCCACGAGGACTATCATTTAGCTTTAAGATCTCAGCCGCGAAAATGCGTATTATTTAATCCGCGTTGTACGCAGCATGAGCTGTCTACTTAAATTACTAACTGTCACAAAATTTACAACGGTCACTTTATATAATCCATTTCCGATGGACTAGGCATATGTCTGCGCCTCCGTTGGCCACGCGCGTGCATCCTCGTGCGTGCAACCTGCGTGCCGTTACCCGGCAATACGCTGAAGGACGCGCGTAGGTGCTGTGGCGAAAGGAAGGGTCCGAAGTTACCGAGCCGGAACGCCAACCGAGCTTCCTGCCGTGCTCGACTCTAGCCGCGTCGCGTTAGAGGTGGAGCTACCCAGTCAGAAATGACTGGAAAACCGACGTCGAAACGATATCGAATCGATGCATTTTTGGTTCCATTTTCGAGCCAAGTCGAAAATGGAACCAAAAATGCATCGATTCGATATCGTTTCGACGTTGGTTTTCCAGTCATTTCTGACTGGGTACGTTCTGGAAAGAGAAAAAAAAAATGCGGCGCACCGACAGCTCGCGCCATTCACTTCTCCTACCCTCTCGTATTTTAAAAGGCGTCGCGATCAGAGAAAGATCGGCGACGGAAAGAGAAAGGACGTGGAAAGAGGGTGAGGAGAGGAGAAGGAGGAGAGAACGTATCTCGGCGTCCGTCGACGCGCGGATCGATAGGATACCGGCGGGGCCTTCTCCGCCGCCGTATCTCGACTCGCGGACCGGATGCAACGCGCGCGAGTCTCGATTCTGGAGCGTCAGCGAATGACGTGACCCGCCGTCGGGCACGCGCGACGCCGTAACGACCGAACGCGAGAAGCGCGTCCGGGCGACCATCCCGTTTCCACGCGTGTATCTTTCAATTCTCCCGTCGTCCCCTCGGCACGAAGATACGCGCGAATTCAAGGGTCGTGCGCGACGCCGGCGATCGTCATCGCGCGATGACGCGACAGCGGGAGCGAGTGCTCGGTTCAAGGGTCGCGTCGTCGCGCACGACATATCGATGCAGGATAAAAAAGGCAGCGCGCCGATACGCGCCGCGGCTGGATGCGCGCGCGCGCGCGCGGTCTTATCGCACCCGGCAATCGCGCGCGGCGTGTTATTGTTAAGGTCGAAATAAAAGGCCCGCGCCACGCTCCGCGCCGCGCCGAGCCGAGCGATAACGCAGGCCGGCTGATAGAACGCGGTACAGCCGTCCCCGTGGAAGTAGATTTCGCTTCGGTTATCGCGCTCATTAATTGCGCGAATACTGACCAACTTAATCGTTCACCGCGCGCGCCCGATATTACGCGCCTCCCAACTCGTTCGCGCAACGGGCGCACCGAAACGCACGGGCTCGGCGAATTTCAAGCCGAGTTCGCCTCCGAATCTGCTCGGACGACGAACGGTCGATATACGTGTACAAACGACGCGAAATCGGCGAGATAAGACGAAACGCGAGAGGAAGTTCGAGGCAACGTGGCCTCTCGATGTTTTTTGTGTCCTCAGCGTTTCCCGGAAAGATCGACGAAAAATAGCGCGAGCGTGCATCTTGTTTACGCGATTCGTCACCGAGGCCGATTCACCCTCTGCTCCCCCCCCCTTCTTCCCGCGGAAACGGAATCATATCAGTCCGAAGATTGACGCAAGGTAGTGACATCATTGACGCAAACGCGAGCCGGAGAGCGGGCTTGCTCACTCATTGGTCAAGTCGGTGACCGCGCGTAAACGCACAGCTCGCATCGGCGTGGCGTCGCGTCCCGCACCCTCGCGTGAATAATTGCACGGTACTCCCGGGTATGCGGACAATTTCGAACTCGAGTCGAACCGCCTCGAGTGAGATTCGCTTCGATTCGAACTTGAATTTCTATGATTCGAATCTGAACTACATTGAAACATTTTTGTTTGCTGGGCTTAGTTTCTGAGATATTTTACCGTCCAAGTTAAAATGGGACACCCTGTATATACAATAACCTTGTAAATAGCTCAGCGAATTTTGTATTAGTGGTTGGCATCGCTACTTAACAACTAGTTAAGCTAACTGGCCACTGTTGAACCGGGCTTAAGGCAGGCTTAAGCCTTTACGGATCGTTCTCTGGTATCAGCCTAACAATACGAGACAGCGTGCATGCCGCTCGCATTGTCTCGCGAAACGGCCGTAAGATCAATTAACGCCCGATGATTTCTGCGCGTCGTCCGCGACATACGCTCTCTCGCCGCGCCTACGCGCTAATTTTGCGAAAATTACAGGAGGCACCCTGGACACACCAGCGGGGGGAGTTATGTAGGACATATGGCGGACTGGCAACGAGGGACGGGCCGCGATATGTGTTCGGAAAGAGATACATGCCACGTAGCGGTTGTCCGTAATCACCATCTATAATAATAATAAGTTAACTGTTAAAAAGATATTTTTGTTAAGCCTCGGAGCGTAGCATATATTGCTGTCTCGCCAGTTTCTCGAACGTGAACAATTGAACCAGTGAGAAAGAAAACACGCGACACCGAAATATGAGTTGACGACGGATCCTCGCTTCAGCGTGACCAAAGTATATTTGGAAAAACTGATTTCAAGAGGCTCCTCTTTCAGTGTGCAAGTGGCGTAAAACCTAACGGAAAAAATTCATATTGTGCTCGCGAGACAGTTTTTTTTCCATTTTTCTCAAATATATGTGACTTTGTCGCCCTTTCTGTTCTAATCAGCTCAATTGTCGCGATTAACGTTCGCGTGGAAATAACAGGAAATAATGTCCGTTAGCGTAGCAGAGGCATTTCGGAAAAAGGAGGCGTTTCTGTGTAGCGCGTCGCGCCTCGCGCCCGGAGACCTCGGCAGAAAAGCTCCGGGCACTTTTTGCCCTCCCGACAATACGAGCCATTCATCCCAATCAGCACATCCTCTCATTGCACTCGCGCCATGATTCTCATTACCCAGTCCAATTGTTTCGCGAATTCAACTGCACGGCCCGCCGCAGATCGCGACGTTCATTGTCGCCGATAAGCGCGCGCCGATTGTAACGCGCGGACGCGGTTATTTATCGCGAGGCCGATCGCGCATCATGCATCGGTTATCGCAATTACGGAAACGGCATGGAGACGCGGGATACGCCGCGAGGAACGAGCGAGACCCGCGGACGTAAAACGTCGTTTCTGTGGGCGCGATTCCGGGGCGTGATCCGCGCCGGAAATCCGATCGTTCCGATCCTACACGGCGAGAGCCCGCGATAATTCGCGTCGACGAAAACCGCCACCGCGGACGACGGTGCGCGTATAGCGTGCGGCGCGGCCACAACGTTGCCAAACCGCAACGGGGGACGACGACTCCGACTCGCCCCGAATCTCGTGCCCGACCGATGCGTAAGGGCCTGAGCCGAAAGATTGTCGTAACCGTTTACGAGCCTGCCGTAAGACTTGAGTCGGTGTCGGCAGTCAACGCACAAAGAATTGTCGTAGACGTTTGTCACCTTGCGACGCAATGAACGCGATATACGTCTACGACAATTCTTTGTGCGTTGACCTCCCGACAGAATTTTAAACACTTACGACAATCTTTCTGCTCAGGCCCTAAGTTCAGTTATAGACGTAAGGCAAGGCAGAGAAAATCAAGGTCGTATACAACAGCCTTTCACGGCTTACGTTTCACTCTGCCTTGCCCTACGTCTACGACTAATGCAGTCTTAAGCGTTTGCGAATCGTTCTCTGCCACCTGCCTAACGATCGTGTGAGAAACGCAGCCGATTTCCGCGAGCGCGGTATCGGAAAAAGAGAGGAGGAGACGTGCGGCGGACTCTCGCACTCGGCGAGGCGTGTTGCTCGCCCCGAGATGACGGACGCGCACGCAGGATGCGTACGCACGCACTCCCGCACGCGTGCGTGCGTGCGTACGTGCGTATACAGAGGGGCCACGCACACTGTGCGCGCGCGGCGTAGGGATACACGCGCGTTTCGGGTGTCGTCTGCTGGGCACTACTTCCTGGCGATCGCCACTCCGACTCCGTGCCTCGACGCGACGCCGACGAGCGAAGGACGAGCGAGCGAATTTTCAGGGTCGAGACGGACAGACGGAGGCTCGCGCGAGCGATCGTGACAAATGGATCGTGCGAGCGGCCTGTCATCTCGTCTCATAGCGCGAAATGAATTTCCCACGGCGGCCGGAGTTCTCCTCCGCCACCGTTTCGCCGATCATTCCGCAACTTTTTCCACGCCACGTTTTCGGTGCTTTCCATTTACCGATAGAAGTTGGCACAAGTGTCATTTTATCCTGTTCACTGGGTATTGAAGAAAGACTGACGCTTGTGTCGACCGGCGTCGCTAAATGGAAAGCGCCATTTCGACTGTTCTCTTTCGCAAGGTCGCAAAACCGGAAATTACGCAAAATCGAGATACGACCTTGCGAAAGAGATCAATCGGTTTATCAACGCAGGCGTTTTTTTCGCCTCAACGGGACGCGCCGTGAGACTTGCCGTCTCTATCGCCGCTTTTATCGGCGATTAATTGATGGAATTATTATTATTATTTATTCATGATCTTGTCTTTCGGCTTAGGGTGTCTTTCGGTTTACATTTCACATTTATCTTTCATAACTATACTTTCTCATACATCTTAATCATATCAACGTATAAATCTCTACGTGTAATTTTATGATTGATGGAATACTGATTGGCGGACATTAATTGATGGAATCGATTAACGCGCGGTTAAAATATTTCGCGCGGTCGCGTCACAATTATGTCGAAATCATATCTCGGAATTGTTCAACGTGAGATTAATAATAATATACGTAATTTATTGCACACGCGAGATATCGCTGATAACAAGATAGCTATGTAGGTACAACGTGCAAAGGCAGAAACGTAACGTTATCTACGTAATTGCATATCATTTCTGCAAATGCACACAAAACGCACATGTCTGAGTCCGCAGGATCAAGTGAACGACTTCATAGGCGAAAATTCGTCGACTCACTTTTAATATCAGAATAACGACTACAGCCTGATCTACAATGTGCTCTTTGGGTCTAGAAACATTCTATTTTGTAGTCCATAAATACCTCTAAAAATCGCGCAAGCTGATAAATTACACAGTACATAATATATTGTGTAATCGTATATCGATACATTTTTTAAGCGTTTCAATTTGCTCGTTTAAAGTAGGATGTTTTTAAACGCGAAGAGCACATTGTATTATAGATCAAGCTTTAAATGCGCAAAAACGTGCAAAATGTAAACGCCGCGAAATTCCGTTCACCGTTACACGCGATATGTACGAGCGATAATTGTGTCACGGTGATATTTCGCGCTTGTGCGCGAGTGTCGCGGCTACAGTTTCACAATGACGCACGAATTTATCGGCGAGAGACGAGGGAAAGTTCTCGACGCGTCCGAGGCAATGATTCATATCGACATGATAGAGAGAGGAGACGGGTTTCCCCAAGACACTGGACGCCGTCTATTGTTTTATTTCTCGCCGGCTCTCAAGAGTTTCAACCCCATCCGAAATTCCGCACAGACAAGGATCGTTGCCGATGAACGGAGATTCCGTCCAAGTTGTTCCACAACAGCGCGGGTATGGGCAAAGTACGGGCAGAAAGATTGTCGTAACCGTATACAATTCTGTCGTAAGGCTTAAGTCGAGGTCGGAAGTCGACGCACAAAGAATTGTCGTAGACGTATGTCGGCTTGCGACGCGATGAGTGCGACAAATAACTTAGAGCCGGAGCAGAAAGATTGTCGTAAGTGTTTACGATTCTGTCGTAAGACTAGAGTCGGTGTCGGAAGTTAATGCACAGAGAATTGTCGTAGACGTATGTCGCATTGCGACGCGATGAGTGCGACAAACTTAGGGCCTGAGCAGAAAGATTGTCGTAAGTGTTTACGATTCTGTCGTAAGACTAGAGTCGGTGTCAGAAGTTAATGCACAGAGAATTGTCGTAGACGTATTTCGCATCCATTGGATGACGAGGCGACATACGACAATTTTTTGCGCGTTGACTTCCGACAGCGACTTAAGTCTTACGACAGAAACCGGATACGACAATCTTTCTGCTCGCGTTCTAAGATTATCGCGTTCGATCGTTTGCCTCGATATCGTCTCCAGCATCTCGAGACATCCCGACCGAGAGTCGGGGATTAAAGTTATACAATACGTCGAACGTCGGTGCTCGAAAAGAAATTTTCTCTTTGTTTCATGAAAAGCTTTTCTTTGTTTTTGAAAAAGAAATTTTCTTATTAAACCACCGGCTACGTCCCGACATCCGACAGTGACATACGACGTATTGTATAACAGGCCTTAGGGCTCTCGACGCCTATACCGCGTCACACCCGAAGAGTGCAAATATAGATCGAATGGGGAAAAAACATCGGGAGGATACAATTCGTGGGCGAACTTCGCGGCTCCTTCAGCGGGACAAGCGCGTCGTCTATCGCGGCGGAAGCCCCCCTTTCCCTCGATTATTCATGCGAACAATTACGTGGCGTCGCCAAGATCGGCCGGGCGCCTCGCGGTGTCGCTCTGCGGCGCCCGATTTGTAATTACGGAGCCGCGCCGTGTCACACGAGGCCGGGGATCGATCGCGCCGCGGATTCGGGGCATTTTCAAATTTTTAGGTTATGGTACTTGGCGATCGGGGACGGGGGCGTGGGGGACGGCGGCGAGGAGGCGCAGGCGGGGAAAAGGAGAGACACGACGAAGCGGAACTACTTCGTCACGGCGAGGCGGTGGTGTGCGGCGCCTCGCGTGTGCGCGCGCGCGCGAGACTCGCCACGACGCGACGCGACGCGGCGCGGCACCTGCCGGGCTGCGCGCGCGGCCGGCACGACGCGAACGAACGCGGCGAATGAACGGCGAGGGCCGCGCGACCGGCGGCGCGCGATTGGCCGTGCGCCAGGGGCGCGCGGTTGCTAAGCAACGGCAACACCGCGCGCGTTACCGGCCGGCGCGACGTAGCCGGCAAACGAGAGAGATAGAGAGGGAAAGATAGAGAGAAAGAGAGCGCGAGCGGCTCTCGCGCGTACAGTGGCGCAGAATTTCGCACAGAACGACGGCGGCTTTCATGGAGCGCGTACGCGGCGGATTGTAAACGTTACACCGTGCGAAGCCGAGCGGACCCACTCACACTCGGACGGGCGCGCTTTCTCTCCCTCCTTTCTCTCTTTCTCTTTCTCTCTCTCTCCTTCTCCCTCTCTCCGTCTCTCCTTCGCTCCGTCTCCTCCGTTCGTCGCCTCGCGATCGCGGACGGTACGACGCACGCTCCCTTTCTTGACGTATCCCCGCCGCGGCCGCCGGAGATCCTCAGTCTCGCGGTAAAGGACGTCGCGCGAGCTTCAGAGTTGCAGGGACGCCCGAGACGTAGAGGACGGTAAAGATGGCAGAGGACAAGAACGAGACCAGCCCCGGCGCCGAGGGCGAGAAGCCGCCGCAGGAGGCGGCGGCGGCGGTCAAGGAGGAGCCGGCGAAGGAGCGCAAGGAGGACGAGAAGAAGGTCGAGGAGAACGGCGAGGGCGAGAAGCCGAAGGAGAACGGCGAGGAGAAGACGACGCCGGAGCCGAAGGACATGCGGGCGATCGTGCTCAACGGTTTCGGCGGCCTCAAGAGTGTCAAGGCCCTGCGGAAGCCGGAGCCCGCCCTCGGCGAGGGTGAGGTCCTCATACGCGTCAAAGCCTGGTGAGTTTGCTCCGTCTCTCTCTCTCTC